GTGACGTGAGCTTTCTTCTATATATGTTACTTTTTTTTCTTTCTTCTATTTCCTTTGTGTCAGTGTGGGTCAGAAAAATGCATTCTTTAAGGAAAATGTTAACCCTTTGATCCCTGACCACCGCTTTACTGATGGTAGAAAAAAAACGACGTAATGCTCACCCACCGGATGAACGGTGGTAGAGAAGAATGACTTAATTCCCAGCCACCGGTTGAACGGTTGTAGAGAAAAATGACTTAATGCCCAGCCACTGGTTGAACGATGGGTAAACACTTGTAACTAAACACTTGTGAATTTTGACTCAGGAACCCAGACAGAGGGGTTAAAATTGTCCAGGAACGCAAGGCTCAAAGGATTAAGAAAAAATGCACAGAGGTATGAACAATTTTGAATATGTCTGTAGTGTAAAGAAATCCTTATTGACATTTGTATTTGACTTGACCATAAATAAAAAAACCCAAGAAAAATGCCGTGTGTTCGTGTGTGGAAATCAAATGAAAACAAACAGTAATATAAAAAAATGAATAGAAAACGCAGTGCATTCTGTAGATAGGTCTTCATATGTAATTATGCAGCATCGCTCAAGAGAAAAGTGATTTTAAAGGTTACGATCAAATGAGCCCCTGTCATCTGATTGTGGAACAAAGATACACTTGTTTTCGTCTTGTATCTAGAACTCCTCTTGTTGATCTTCACACTTTGTCGCCGCTAACATGTTCTGACTGCTGTCATGCCATGTGCTGAGTGGTTCAAGTTTTAATGATTCTGCACTGCAAATGGCCAATAGGAAAAAACGCCAAATCCCTAATTCCCCAAGAGTTATTCAGACGTGGCTGACAGATGAGTCCTATTTCTTGCTTCCTAAAGGAGTGGTAGTCTCACTATAAAACCTTTGTAGAAACATGCATCTTAGAGGAGAGCGAATAAAGTAAGAGAAAAATGCTATAGACAAAAGCACAAATATAGATTGTCCTAAAGAGAAAGGACGAAAGAGATTATATTTACATGGCGGTGTTATCCACTGGTGTGCCGTCAGTCCACACCCATTTCATTCTTTGTTTACGATCATTAAGTCCCAGCCACCATTCACTCGAACGAAGTGGATCAGTTGCCTGTATTTTTGCCAACTCTTGAATTATCCATAACTGCCAAAACAAACAAACAAAAAAAAAACATAACATATTTAAACGCAGGTTATTTTCTCATTCTTTTTTTTTCCAAGAGAATTGTTATGCTTACGCACGCACGCACGCACACACACACACACACACACATATATATATATATATTGTGGAGGTATATTCACACACATCATGTGGTCATAAGTTTGGGCTTGTGTTCACGAGGAAAAACAGAACAAACATACATAACAATAAAATAAACCTGGTAAATTGTATGGTAGTTTTATACAATTTTATTTATGTAATTATGTGTATTAATGTGTATGTTTTATATTACAATAGTGATAAGGTTCATGTTATAGAAGGGGGTAACTTACTCCGTAATACCACAAGTAGAGGGTAGTTATACACATGTTGTCATCTCGACAATTCTGGGGAAAAAAGAGGTTGAATCTCACGTCTCTTGGCGGGATGTCCGTATTTCCGACAAGAACAGTCCCTGTTGCATGCTGGGAGTAATTTTATTATTTTTATTTGTTTTATCTATTTTAAACATGGTTTAAAATTTATTTTATTTATAATTTTCATTATTATTATTGTTATTTCATATTTTATTTTCATTTATAATAATAATGTTCCCACAATATATATATATATATATATATATATATATATATATACACTCACATTATATATATATATATATATATATATATATATATATATATATATATATATAATAAAAAAGGTTTAAACACTAATATTCCATGGTCATAATGTATTCCATTGGAATCGTAAATACGATCCAATTCATCAGACCTACAAATTCAAAAAGAAAACAGAAAAAACAACCCCGGAAATAAAAATAGAATTGAGTGTAAGTATGAGAGTGTGGGACGAATGTTAGAGCTAAAGAGAGGGGTAACAGATGAGAGAAGGTGGGAGATTAAACCTTAACAGAGAAGTTCTTTACTCTGTCCTGGACATTGAGTTCTACCTGGATTCTATCCTCTTGGAATTTTTTATTAAAAAATATACATGTATGTGTATGCACCTATGTATATATATTTATATATTTTGCATATGTATGTGTATATTTACCACTAATATTAGCTATATATATATATATACATATATAAAGAAATAAAGATACCATAAAAGCCCCAACACAAAATGAAGTGTATTAAGGAGAGTTAATTAAGCCTTACAGATGTATTGATAATATTTTTAGGCTTTGTCAGGAAGAAAAGTTGTCCATAGAGACGTACCCAGATAAAATCAACCTGTTAAACCAACGGTCTGAGGTAATGTCGAAATGTTGACATACCAGTAAATATACTCTGAGCAAGTATGAGCCTGGATGAACAATTTTTTTTGTTTTTTTTTATTATTTTTTTGTTTTTCCTTTTTTTTTTTTGTTTTCTTTCCGGTTCCTCCAAACTCTTTCTCCCCCTTCTGGTGTCTCTAATGTGTGACGCTTTCTTAATTTATTTAAGCGGCAATGAATTGCGTTTCGGATTAACCATTCACAAGTAACTGCCCTGACGAAACCGTAAGGTCAAAACCTGAGTAGGGCGTTGCGCGTGGATTTTATTTTATATATATATATATATATATATATATATATATATATATATATATATATATATATATCATTAAATATGGCAGACAAGAAAGATTTGATTAAATTTTTATTTAGCTTTTCCAGCATAATTACGTTTTTTCCATTTTCCAAGCGCTTTCGGCCATTTATTTACAATGGAAATTATGGAAATTTTCTCTACTCCCTTGCTTTTTAAAAACGGCAAAACGTAAGGAGGCTGGAAAAACTAAAGAAAAGATTAATTAAATCTTCCTCTTGTCTGCCATATTTAAGGAAATATGTTTAAAATAAAGGTTCTGCCCAATACGCACGCACACACACACACACACACACACACACACACACACACACATATATATATATATATATATATATATATATATATATATAGAGAGAGAGAGGAGGAGAGAGATAGATAGAGAGAGAGACAGAGAGAGAGAGAGAGATCGTCTTTGCGTGTGTGGACATAGAAATCAAAACTTCAAATTTGAATATTGCTGACACATATTGTCTGGTGTTCCTACTATACATTTAGATACTCTCGATAAAATATAAATATGAATCCGCAATCTTATTGGTCCTCACCTAGCATCTCGGCTTCACTCACTTTCCCACCGCCGTAACCTAGCTTCTCTTTGCCTTTTCTAAAAATACTTTCATGGTACGTTACGTTACATGGTTACGCTAGTATTTTTCAACTCAAATGGTGTGTAGATGCAAAGTTTGAAACTAAAAAATCAAATATTTAAAAAGAGAAGAAGAAGAAGACGCAGCCGTTGCGGATATTGTCTAGCTTAAATAGAATAATTTAATGAGGTAATTTTGTATTTCTCTATTATATAATTTATATGGTCTGTTATAATAAATACACTGAGATCTTTTTGTGGATCTGCTTGAATATTTTATATTATTAGGATCCACTTGGAATATATACCAACGGATTATTACCGGTACCATATATATATATATATATATATATATATATATATATATATATATGAAGAAATATAGTCTTAAGGTGTGCTATATTTATGGGATAAAGTGCTCAATATCAGAGATAGAGCGTGTGTAAATATAAAAGTGAACATAGAAGTCAACACTTAGAGGCGACAGTCTGTTTCATGCTATATGCAATCGTCAGGCCACGTGTGCTGTTATTTTCTCGGCTATTTATATATATACGGGTCAGTGGTGCATTGTGGGTATTCTATTATGGCTGTTATTTTACCGGAAGTCGTTTATTTATTTATTTGGGTTAAATTATTTTGCTTGTTTTTGTTTATTTTTATTTTTTGTTTCTTATTTTATTTATTTTTTTTTTTTTATCGGTGTTTTTATTAACGTAGTAAAAATTTGTTTATATCACTTATTTAATAGTTTTGTTTTGTTTTGAGAATTTAATTAAAGCTATTTATTCGGCTTTGGGGTTGATTGTTGTAGTTTATTCTAACTATTATTTTGGCAGGAACAGTTTTTAATTTGTGTTTATTTGGGTTGATTATCTTTATTTGTTTTTTCTAAAGGTAACTTTATCGGGATTGGTTTGTTTATTTATTTACTTGGATGAATTTAGGTCAATTTATTTTACTTGTATATTTTCTCTTTTTGGTTTTCGATTTTTAAGTATCGTAGTGTTTATTTATTTTTATTTTTATTTTTTATTTTTATTTTTTATCGTTATATAACAGTTATAGCGATTTTTTTTCGTTCGATTTTTTGGTTTGATTTTTTAGTCTAACTAATATTTTGGTCATAATGGTTTGCTAATTTGTTTATTATTTACTTTATTTATTTGGGTTCATTGTTTTGTTTTTTGTTACTATTATTATTATTATTCTATTTCGTCTATTCTAACAGGTGTGATTTAGTAATTTGTTTGGATTAATTAATTTTGCTTATTTTATTGTTATTTTGTTTATTTGTTTATTTATTTGTTTTTATTTTATTTTTTCCGTTTTCAATTTTTTAAGTAACGTAGTAAAAATTTGTTTTCGTGTCTGCATTTTGAAATGAGCTCGGATCTTTTATTTAATCATTTATTTTGATCTGGGAAAGTAATGATAGCTATTTTTTCCTCCAAGCAAAGTTTGCAAGCTTTTGATTAGTTGTTGTAGGCTGATGATCTTTTCCTTATTTTCCAAGATATTTTTGGTGTGATGTGCGTTTTGTTTTTAATTTCTCAGATATACTTAGAAAGCATTGTACTGTTCGCATATTTACTATTTGGGAAAGATGTTTTGTGTGTATAATTTCTTTGTTTCCAAGATCTTTCAGTT